AACCTTGTTTTGTGTTTCCTTCTCTTCTTTTTCTCGCTCGTTCATATGTTTTTGAAATTACCTAGCCAAAAAGTTATTTCTGTTTTCTTAATTAACTCATACTGCTGCTGAACTAATCTTTAGCAAAGCTTTTACTGTGTTTTTGCCATAACAAAACTGAATTGAGTCTAAAAAGAATTTAGAGTCGGGCTTGAGCCGGACGGTCCAGGAAAGACTACCACCCGGGCCGGGTCGGGCCAACCGATTCGCATGATGGGTCGAGCAGGCCTCGACTTTTCTTGGCCCGGCTTGTTCCGGGCGGGCCATCAAAAATTCACCCGATTAGGAGCTCTGGTGTCTACGTGTACATGTGGGTTTCTCCACGAATCCGTTTCTCACTTCTTTCTTACCTGTCCTCTTTTCACTACGGAAAGATCTCCAATGTTAAATATCTTCAGGACGGCATTAAAGGTCAACATCATCCAGTTAAACCATAATCTCCTTAGGAATCCAATTTTTTCTCTTATGAATAAACGTGACTTATTCATATTATATAATAGTATATTAGACTTCATAAAAACGACAAAACGTTTCCGTCCGTGATGTGGTTGTACTTGACCTGCTTTTATTGTTCTGTAGTAGACAAGCTCAGGTCGAAATTGATAGTGATCCGTTGATAACATTCTAACATGATAAACGAGTCCTTAGAACTTACTCTTCCTCGTCCTAGAATAGTTTGCCGTGCTTTCTTCAATATATTATCAGCTATTCTTTCTCTTCTCTTTTTAGCAATTAACTGTATTTCTCTTTTGATCAAATTGTCACAGCATGTAATGAGCATAGCTCGATTTGTTGTCTAATAAACTTAGTTTAAATTAGATATAGAAAAATAATGAAACAATGTCTATTTGAATCGAGCGGCTAAAAAAGTCTTCCATTTTGAATGTTTCGCTAGATTATTTTCAAGAATTATCATTTGTTTTCGTCAAAGAGTCCCATATAAATAACATGCAGTCCTCATATATTGATTGCATTTTGTTGCACGATCAAAAATGGAAAAACAAATGACAAATCACAAATCTGTCTGCTGGTAAATCAAGGTTTATCAAACTTTTTTCAGTAATCTAATTATAATTACCAATATAGAAGGCGAATGTTTTTTCTTCCGGTATTTGAATCAAAAAAGAACAGAAAAGTTTTCGTGATAAAACCAAAAATAAAAATTTTCCACAGTTGGACTGTTGATACAATTACATTATTTGTAAAAAGTAGCTCATTTTACGATGATCACGTATGAAACATTAATTAACCATGATATGATTTGACTATAGTAGCAATAATTAATGTAATTATGATATGAACATAAGTAAAGCTGAATGTTACTGTTGTTTAGTATTGACAATGAAAAAAAGAAGTTTTTAATATTTGATCACCCGTTAGTCGTTTTAATGGATTTATTTGTAAACAACGTTGTATTATATCATCTTAAGTAAAAAAATTAGTTAAAATAAAAATAAAAAAAGAGATGTTGAGGAAGATTTACCCCGAGCTACAGTACCGGCAGGTTTTGCATAACGCGAAAATACACCATTCTCAGTTCGACATACTTCCGGTGACATATATTTAGTCGTTCCTACAAAAGATAAAACAATTCCTTATTTAAAAGAACTTCGCATCATAAATATGAAAATTTAAAATATGTAGACTTTTCTTATCATCTGAAATGTAACTTAACGGGTGTCCTATAAAGAATAGGACTTTATTGTTTTTGCTCTAGCTCTATCAGTTTTCATCCAATCGACTCAAACCTTTTTTAAAAGATTCACCATTCAATTCTCTACAAACCGTGTCCAAACAAGTTTTATAGAGTAAAAAATGTCAGAGTTATAAAACAAAAAGTGAGGACGTCTAAAATCGCACTTTTTGACGTTCTGGGACAAACAGAGCGGACACACAGTTCGCAAAAACTTCAAAAGTAAGTCCGTCGGATAGGAGAGACTGAAAGCTTCAAAATAAAAATAAAACTTATCAAAAAATGATCATTTTTAACTGAGTTATGAGGATTTTCGTGGAAGTAGCAAAGACATGATTTCAAAACGGCGGTTTTTTAGAAAACTCAAAAATTAATCTCGCTATGGCCGACTAAGGTGTTAATCAAAAAATCTTTGAATATGACCTTCAAATAGAGAATTTTGCGCTCTTTCGAATGGCCGCCTCAGGTTTTCTTTATCTCAGACTGGGACGAAGATATTTGAAAAAGCTGATTTTTGCCTTAGACAGTTGACGCTTTTAGACGTCTTCACTTGTTCTTATGTAGCTCTGTCAGTTCTTGCTCTAGAAAACTTCTTTAGATACAGTTTTGTAGAGAATTGAATGGTGAATCTTTTAAAAAAGGTTTGATTCGATTGGATGAAAACTGACGGAGCTAGAGCAAAAACAAAAAAGTCCCATTTTTTTTTCTTTATGGGAAAGTTGTTAGTTTAACCCTTTACCGCTGGATGTCCACGGATAAGTTGGACATTTCTTACTTGTTGTTGATGATGTACTTGTTGATGTCGTGGTGGAGCTGGTTGATGTTGTACTTGTTGATGTCGTGGTGGAACTGGTTGATGTGGAAGTACCTTCGAAAAGAAGAGCAATGTGGAATATTTACTACATGTACAACATTTCTTACTTGTTGTTGATGATGTACTTGTTGATGTTGTACTTGTTGATGTCGTGGTGGAGCTGGTTGATGTTGTACTTGTCGATGTCGTGGTGGAGCTGGTTGATGTGGATGTTGTAGTACCTTCGAAAAGAAGAGCAATGTAGAATATTCATTACATATACAACATTTCTCACTTGTTGTCGATGATGTACTTGTTGATGTCGTGGTGGAGCTGGTTGATGTAGAAGTACCTTCGAAAGCAGGAGCAATGTAGGATATTTACTACATCTACAACATTTCTCACTTGTTGTTGATGTTGTGCTTGTTGTGGTGTGCGTGGTAGTGGACGTTGTTGACGTTGTGCTAGCTAGAAGCAAAATTGAGAGTGTGATCTGGAGACACATTTTATGTGAGAAAAAGGTATATAACTGATCTGTTGGAGTCTCTCGTGTATTCTGGTGACTCAAGTAGAGAAAGCGTTAAGATTATATATGCACTGATGATGTAACAGCTAGAGTTGCATTGGTTTGGGTGATAAACTGGAAAGGTATTATGTGGTTATGGATTTTTTTGGTTTTATGGCGATAGGGCGATGCTAATGACCTATTGTCTTTAGGCTGTGTGTGTACAACATTTGTTTAGGTATTCGGTCAATCTCTCTTCTCGCATGCTCTTGTTTCTCATGATTCACAAAGTAAAATATGGCTACGGTAGAAGCATATGGTTCTGGACGGATAAGAACGGAATTTGACTGCTTTATTATATGTAAACGACATGGGCGATTTTCTACTTCAAACAAACTTTTTCGAACTTTTATGGGCTGCAGTTTTCTGTATGATCGCATGCGTGACTTTCGATTTTAGTCTAACTCTTAGTAGTTTCCGACAGTTTGAAGTAGGCTGGATGGATTTTGACTAAATTATGAATTATTTAATTTTTGATAAAAATAATCAAAATGGGTTATTTCACCTAGTATAGGCTTTAACTCGATCCTGTGCTGAAAACTAACATTGCCGCGATATTCAGTATAGTCGATAACCTATGTTTTCATTCATTTCTGACAGTCCCAAATCTAACGGCAGAGGAGTGCTAAGGCTTCAAAAAAAACGTCCATAGCTCCCAATTATGGGCTTTCAAGATGTCTCTTAGACTCGGTTTTGTAGAGGACACTTCGGACTATATATGCCCCCAAAAAAGCAATAGATTCCTATTTGAATTTCGGAAAATTCAAGCTACTTTTCTAAAGATCCTTTGGAAATTTCCCAAACGCGATTTTGCTTGTAGAAAGACCGTCTCAAGTCTTGGCTATCGAATGGTGGAAATCGCAAGCCTCTACCTTTATTTGGTGCTGAGTTATTGAAAAAGTGACCAGTGCTCTTGTGTTTTGGCTCCGATAGTAGTAGAGATATCTGTATCTGGTCCATGTGCTCCAAATGACAAGAGAGAGGGAGAACTTTGCCCAGGTTTTTCCGAAGGTAGCCGTAGATGGACAAAAAGTTGATTGTCGAATCTGAGAGTTGTGCGAGGGGTATTTTATTTTGTATATCGAACTGGCTATGAGCATGTGATGTTTTTCTCAAAAGTATTTCGGAACAAGAGACCGACTTCGCCGCCTTATTCCTTTATTTTAAGCAAGTACGCCGCCTCGAGGACTCCATATGGACTCCTCTTTTGCTTTGCATGGAAGCCTCTCACTTGTTGTTGATGATGTGGAGGAGCTGGTTGATGTGGAAGTACCTTCGAAAAGAAGAGCAATGCAGAATATTCATTACATATACAGTTTTTCTCACTTGTTGTTGATGATGTGGAGGAGCTGCTCGATGTCGACGTTGATGTTGTAGTGGAGGCTGCAAGGTAAAAAACAGTCGTACAAAGGTTGGGTCGTAAAGAACGGACCAGAATCATTTTCTGTTTTTAGACAGTTCTCTATAATTAGAAGAATACGCGTTACGCTTATTCGATAGAGAATTTTCTGCTCGACATAACCATCAAGTTTTATTATCAAAAATAATATTTTCCTCGAAGTAATATTAAAACAACGACATACTCATACTCAATGTGCATACAGCGATACTCCGAACAGTAAAAGCCTTCCGCAAAATGCTAGCAAAAGTCCCAATAAAATTCTAAATATATCATACAATTCTGCGCTAAATTTTGTTTTTTCTGGTGTATTCAGCGTAATTTTAGACTAATTTCGTTTAGGAATTCTTACATAGAAACGAGTCCTACGCGCGAAAAAATTGACTTTTCTATACAACACAACAACATTTTTCAACTAATATTCCCTGAAAACTGTTCAAGCTACATCTTATGTATCGTATAGATCTGTTTAGAATTAAATTTGCTCTTTGGAAATACCAAAGTAAAAAGTTTGAAAATAAGTTTCTATTCAAAAGCTTGAAATCTCTTTATTACTGGGAAAAAACATCGCAACAAATAATTTTAACCTTTTTCTTTAGCCAACTCGAATACTACGTCTGACACTTTCCAGACCGATCCGGTCGACAGAAGACAAAAATCTCTATTATCTGATCTAGAAGAAGCTGTTCCTGAGATCGATTTCACGAGCGAAAACATTTCTTAAGAGGAAGAACAAGTCCAAGCGTTGCTGTTTTACGTCAGGGGAACAAATTTATCCGACAATACAACTTGTCAGTCTTGTAGAGCAGAAAGCTTTCTATCGACTGATCTTAAAACTGGGTCTCCAAATTATAGGAAACTACCAAAAAAAAGGAAATGATTTGGCCCGTCCGTTACAGTGGTTCGAAAAACTGACCGTACAATCGAAGAAAAAGGCCTGTTTAGAAGAAGGGCCTAATCCAAATACACCATTCAAAAGAGGAGACCTAGTTATAAACGGCTCTGTTCAACCAGAAAACGAAAAGTACAATGTTTTTGAAGGACACAGGCTTATAGGGAAAGAATTCTCTCCAAGATAAGACCGTTCTCCCATTGTGAACAACAGCTGCAAACGAGTTGTGAATCGCTCATTCGTAACTAAGGAAAAGGGTGTCAAAGCTCCACGTCAAAGCCTATGTCCTTCAAGTAAATTTTAATTTTAATTTTCTGGTTGAACACATTTATAACCAGGAACTATAATAATTTAAGAGCTCTTTTCGCTAAGTAACATTAGCCTGAACAATTTTCCTCGAATGCACTTAATCTATGCAGTTTCCTTTCCTCTACTGAATGGTGTATTTGGATTAGGCTTTTGTTCGGTTTTATATTGAGAAATTCAATTTGTTTTAAGGCTTGAGAGGACATTTCTATATTATTTTTCTAAAGCTCTAGAAAGATCTTTTTCAATCCTTTGTTTGTTAACATGCAGCGTATTAAATTCGCTTTCGTATGGTATAAAAGTAAAAGGTTCATCCATTCAGGAAACGTCTAGAAAATTAGAGACAAGCAAGTGTGTAGTTAATTATTCGGTTCTCAAAACGCGACTAGTTGTAGAAAATATTTCTTTTTAACACCAAGAGCCCAATTTGAAAACGTGTAAGTTACTTATGCCCAAATGCAGTATATACTCTGCTCTATCTATTGATAAAGCAATAACTTTTTTAGCAACTTCCGTGAGAAAATGTGTTCACAAAGTCTTTTCTTCTACTATATGGTCAATGTTTCGGACTACTATATATCTTATCTATTTCGAATTTAGAGTCGAAGTTTTTATGTATCATATGGGCACAGTATTAAATATTTCTTGTATTTCTAATGAGGGATTCTTTGAGAAAAACGGGTCGATAATCAAGGTCAAATAGCTTCTGAATTTCCCGTTTCTCCACATCTTTTCAACTTTCTTTCATTCAGTCCCAACATTCTCAGCAAATAAAGGATCTACAAGTCACAAAACAGTTTAGTCGTGTAATGTCTATATTCCCTATATAAATATCTCGTGAAGTACATATAAACCCACTTACTAGTTGATGTGCTAGTACTGGTTGACGTTGTTGAAGTCGTTGTAGTTGATGTGGTTGTACTTGATGTGGTTGATGTGGTCGTTGTGCAAGCACACGGACACATGCAATTTAATGGTTCTAATCAAAATAAAAAATGAACAAACTAACGCCAAAACAAACTAAATCGATATTAAACCCTTCTTTCCTGCTCTAAGCTACCCATGGCTGGTTTACATGGTACTGCAATAATAGATTTAGTTTCAAAAATAATTTCACTGGTTTGGCGCCAGTTTCAGATTAGCGATTTATTAGGCATTAATTTGTTCTAGTCCTTTTAATTGGACCGTAATCAGTTCTGTTTTTGTCTATTCGATATTTTCTAATACATATTCATGTCCGACAGTCGTTGATAAGGTTAATTTGAATTTTTCATGCAAATAGCTTTTGAATTTGCGGTTTTTAGCAAACTTTGGAGAAGGGGGGGGGGGCGGTACTTGGTCTGTTTTTCAGTCTTTAATAAGCACGAACGTGTTCAAATACCATTCGAAGTACGTATTTCGATATGTCTGCCTACAACGCAGTTTATGCCAAACCATGCCTTAGTGTTTGGAACATCACCCTAGCATCCCACGGAATCCGGGGAAACGGTAACATTTCTTCAAAAAAATTTTTCTCACGACCCAACCCAGTTTTTTCACGACTCATTGCTTTCAATGCAAACCCTTAAACCAAATAAAAATCTTTCGTTCACATCAATTTTGACTGGAACGCGCTTTTCTTCAGGAAACTGGGAATATTGAAATAAAATTATCGAGGAAAAAAGACAAAAGAAGAGTAGAAACTCCTATGCTGTACAAAACGGTAATATTATCTACATATAGATAAGACAACGCACAATGGTAAGAACAATGACTCTCGAACATCTATGATTTCCAAATGGGAAACGAATGAATATGATACTATTGGGGTGGGCGAATGATTTTTCAATCTATCGTACATCTACTAAAAAGAGGTTTGAAAGCCGAATGTCCAGATGATGTTTCTCATAAAATCTTTGAAAGACGAGGTCACCTGACAACTTCTATGTTTAAAATATGAAAATGTTCTCTTTAGCCCCACGCGAGAATCAGATCGATGACTATTGTGATTTGGGAGGAGGACGGATTTTTATGGGATCTATCTGTATTCCTGAATTTCAATTTGAGAAACTTGGAACACATCGATACATGTGCAATCAACCATCCATAGTCTCGTGACATCTCTTTTTCTGTCGGAACTGTAAAACAAACGGAATCAAACGTTTACTCAACATCTCGATTTCTTTCACCCTATTTGTCGGTTTTAACAAGATTTTGCGAAAGCTTTGAGAGAGAATTGTTTAGTCTAGTGTTGGAGATAATCGGCCTCAACCTTGTATGCACATACATTGCGGCATTTGTTGGGGCTATAAGCTGTGATTTTGAAACTTGGCCATACCTACAAGTTTTCGTGCTCCACCGGTTAGGCATGCAACAATCCGATAGTTCGATCACCGAACATGTTCGATCGCCGAACGCGTCCGGACGAAGATTGGAAATACGATAGCTAATATTTTTTCTCATCCGAGATATCGGCGAGCGTTCTGCTGAGAAACTATTAAAACACAGTATCATAAACCTTATAAAGATACATTCGAATAGCATTTTTGCATGAAAACAAAGTAAATCAATCTGCTGCAGAGACTACACTAGTAAAGTATGCTTTTGTTAGAGAGTAAATCAGATATGTGGAAACTAAAGCTACTTTGGATTGCCTGGAATAAACCAAACATAAAGTTGCTCTAATTCAAACTTTTCTTCACATGACAACCTACGGCGTAATCATTCCTGCTCCTTCGTTTGGTGTAATCTTCACCATTTTTGTGTATTACAGAGACTTCTTTGTGCTTTTTCGCTCTCATGTTCTTAGCTTCGACAAAGTACTTCCTTTAAAACTTTGATAGCGAATCGCTCGCTGTCTGAACATGTTCGGTAGCGATCCAGTAGAACACACATTCGCTCACATTATACACTAGTTAGTCTATTTTCTCACTCGTTAGCTCCTACAAAGTTCAATTTTATCCCATTTATCTTTACTTCTGACTAGGCGTGCAACACTCCCAAGCTGGGCTCGCTGATCAGCACCAAACATGTTCGATAACGAACCGTTTTGTGACGGAACATGTTCGGTAACAAACCGTTCGGTGCCAATCAGCGAGTCCTGCCTTAGGATTGTTGCATGTCTACTACGGACTGACCACCTCAAAATTATCTAGAAACATTGGGGTGCAATAAAAACTGAGTCAACCTCGGCGAGAGCTTTTCAAAAGCATCATTTCTGTGTCGTATGTTACTCAAAACTGGAACGGTGCTTTTCAGAACTAGAGACCTAATGTAACTTCTTACGGACTACAAATCGAGCATAGTCAAACACTGTTCGCTTTCTGGGTCACGAATAAAGTGGAAGAACCACTTCGGAAACACACAGTATAACGTACTAGGAAGTGGCTCAGAATTTGTTGTAATGAGTTGTGAGTCAATCATTTTCTCCTACCTGTTGTAGTTTGTGCCGAAACCATAGTCACACTACATAATATAATGAGTAGAATGGGTACCAAACAATTCATGTTCTGAAACAAACTTTGAGTTGAGAAGCGATTAACATCGATTGTCAACTCCATCACTTACCAGCGTCTTTTGGTTTCTGGTTCGATCGGGTTTTTTCCTCTGTGGATAGTAGTTTTCTCTCTCACGGTTGTCACAGATGATGTTTCTCATAAAATCTTTGAAAGACGAGGTCACCTGACAACTTCTATGTTTAAAATATGAAAATGTTCTCTTTAGCCCCACGCGAGAATCAGATCGATGACTATTGTGATTTGGGAGGAGGACGGATTTTTATGGGATCTATCTGTATTCCTGAATTTCAATTTGAGAAACTTGGAACACATCGATACATGTGCAATCAACCATCCATAGTCTCGTGACATCTCTTTTTCTGTCGGAACTGTAAAACAAACGGAATCAAACGTTTACTCAACATCTCGATTTCTTTCACCCTATTTGTCGGTTTTAACAAGATTTTGCGAAAGCTTTGAGAGAGAATTGTTTAGTCTAGTGTTGGAGATAATCGGCCTCAACCTTGTATGCACATACATTGCGGCATTTGTTGGGGCTATAAGCTGTGATTTTGAAACTTGGCCATACCTACAAGTTTTCGTGCTCCACCGGTTAGGCATGCAACAATCCGATAGTTCGATCACCGAACATGTTCGATCGCCGAACGCGTCCGGACGAAGATTGGAAATACGATAGCTAATATTTTTTCTCATCCGAGATATCGGCGAGCGTTCTGCTGAGAAACTATTAAAACACAGTATCATAAACCTTATAAAGATACATTCGAATAGCATTTTTGCATGAAAACAAAGTAAATCAATCTGCTGCAGAGACTACACTAGTAAAGTATGCTTTTGTTAGAGAGTAAATCAGATATGTGGAAACTAAAGCTACTTTGGATTGCCTGGAATAAACCAAACATAAAGTTGCTCTAATTCAAACTTTTCTTCACATGACAACCTACGGCGTAATCATTCCTGCTCCTTCGTTTGGTGTAATCTTCACCATTTTTGTGTATTACAGAGACTTCTTTGTGCTTTTTCGCTCTCATGTTCTTAGCTTCGACAAAGTACTTCCTTTAAAACTTTGATAGCGAATCGCTCGCTGTCTGAACATGTTCGGTAGCGATCCAGTAGAACACACATTCGCTCACATTATACACTAGTTAGTCTATTTTCTCACTCGTTAGCTCCTACAAAGTTCAATTTTATCCCATTTATCTTTACTTCTGACTAGGCGTGCAACACTCCCAAGCTGGGCTCGCTGATCAGCACCAAACATGTTCGATAACGAACCGTTTTGTGACGGAACATGTTCGGTAACAAACCGTTCGGTGCCAATCAGCGAGTCCTGCCTTAGGATTGTTGCATGTCTACTACGGACTGACCACCTCAACGAGTCTCCTCACTTTTTAGGCGACGGCTCGTGTAAAGATCAAACCTCAAGGCGAGGAAGACAAAACCTATTTTTCGACTTTGCTTTCGCCCATATGACTATTGAGATCATAAATCATCTATTTACATCGAGCTTTTCTTTTGGAGTTGATTCGAAATGGAGTACTTCGAAATGACTGTTTTCATCTCCCTGATTTCCACTGTTACTAGTGACGATAGTTTTTCTCAGCACTATGCAATCCATAGTACTAACTGACCTGCGAACAGACAGAATAGAATCTCCTGTACAAAATACATGTATTCACATACACATACATATACCAGAGCTTATGGCAGTCGAAGTACAAGCCCTCCCGACTAACATAAAACATCAGTACTTTGACTATATCGTACATCGAGCTAGGACCATGTAAATCCTTTACAGGGAAAGTCTGACTATACTTTTTAAGTTTTGGGAGAAAACGAAAGACCCCATCTGGTAACACCAATAGTGCTCTATAACTGGAAATGATTTTTAGCTTGATCTGTTGTTTTATCTGGTAGAACAACGGCGATGACGAGCAGAACGTCATCCGTTTTCGAGGTTAAGAGCATTTTGTGACCCCGGGATGGTTCTAATTAAGTCGAATTGAGCATAATATTCTAGATCAAATATCGAGCATCACGAATTTGTTGCTTTTAATAAGAAAGCATGAGAACTGTTCGGGAAACTCTTGAAATTGTAGAGTAATAGCAATCGACATGGCGACAGTCTTCGTACCTTACTGAATGATGTAGAAGGGAATGCGAAAAAATGTAAATAGATGATTGATGCTCTCAATTGTCCTACAGGCAAAATCAAAGTCGCAAAATAATTGTCAGACAAATATGTAATTCAACTTTCTCAGTTCATAGACATCAAAGTATGATTAGTCGCGTGTATACTATTATTATTTTGTCTCTCTTATTTCCATCATATTTTTGTATTTTGCTTGGTTGCATCCAAAATGTTACTTTGACGTTAGACAATCCGAATAATATTACAAATAGGAACATAAATTATAGCTCTTGTCTTTGCTACCCTATTCAGTCTAATTTTATTGCATTGAATTATC